AGAGTCGTCTACGTAAGCTGTAAGTCTCTACTTCTTTAAAGAATAAAGCCTCTACTACTAGTACTAAGGCTATAGAGTTATAAGTAAAAGAAGTAGAAGAATAAGAAACGGACTTCGATTTAAGAAAAGAGTAACCCCTAACTAAAGTCGTACTTAGAGGTTATATAGGGAGTTATATAGAGTATAAAGTCGTTTTAAAAGCTCTATAGATAATAAGTTATTTATTATATTAGTATTAGTAAATAATATTTTATCTATAAATATACTAATTAATACTAGCTACCTTTCTTATAGACTATACAACTCCCGCTTCGCCTAGAATAATAATCTAATACGCCTACCTATTATACTATAAGAGGTTATAGGGTTTAATAGAAAAGTCTCTTCGACTATAAATAAGGTTATAGTTATTACACTTAACCTAGATAGATATAGAGAGTCTAGGGTTTTTCTATATATCCTATCTATAGAGTACTATAATATAATCCTAGGAATACTATAGATTATAGCTTAAGACGCTAGGATTAATATACTACGTTTAGAAATAAAAATCGAAATTATAGGTACTACTATATATAGTAAAGAGGTATTTTTTAGGCTATAAGCGAATATAGCTATATAGGTGTTAGCTATAGTACTCTATTACTAGTAGAAGAGCTAGTAGAAGCGAAAGGGTATATAAGTGTTTTCAGCTAGTATAACTAATATTATAAAGGTACTAGCTATAAAGTAGTATACGGATCTAGCGACTAAGCTACTAAGGTACTATCACGAGTTCCTAAGTATCTTCGACTACTAGGTAGTAGAACGACTACTACTACTATACGAGCTAGGTACCGATTATACTATTAAACTTAAAACTATAAATAGTTAGTAGCCTAAGGTCTTATAAGAGCTATTATATAGTATGTCACAGGACGAGCTCCTAGTACTTTAGAAGACTCTAATAGACCTACTTAATAAAGGGTTTATATATGTTAGTAATTCGCTAGTAGTAGCCCTAGTACTATTTATTAAAAAGCTAGGGAGAGGCTTACGCTTCTATATCGATTACCGCGACTTAAATTATATTACGAAGAAGGACCGCTACCTCTTACCGCTTATTTATAAGACCCTACGAAATATTAGTAAAGTATAGTAGTTTACTAAACTCGATATAATCGCTACTTTTTATAAGATATAGATCGCGGAAGGCGATAAATAAAAGACTACTTTCTAAACGCGCTATAACTTATACGAATAGATAGTTATCTTATTTAGCTTAGCGAATACACCTAGTACTTTTTAGAAGTATATTAACTAGACTCTACGCGACTACCTAGACGAATTCTACTCTACTTATATAGACGACATTTTAATATATTCGTCTAAGAGTAGGAACTAGTACTATAAGTATGTATATTAAGTACTATAGCGACTCTAGAACGCTAGCTTATAAATCGATATCGATAAATACGAATTTAAAGTATAAGAGACTAAGTACTTAGGGTTTATTATCGAAGCTAGAAAAGAACTTAAAATGAACTTAGAAAAGGTTAAGACTATTACTAGCTAGAAGGCACCTACTTTAGTTAAAGGCGTACGTAACTTTCTAGGGTTCGCTAACTTTTATAGGCGCTTTATTAAAGGGTTTTTAGACCTAGTAAGACCACTTATAGAGCTTACGTATAAAGACCGGAAATTCGTATAGAACGATAGAGTAGACGTAGCCTTTTATAAGCTAAAGGATATATTTACTTTAGCTCTCGCGCTAGTCTACTTCGACTATAATAAGCCTATATATATTAAAACTAACTCCTCTAGGTAGTATATAGGGGGTACGCTATAGTAGCTAAGCGATAAAGGCTTATAAGTACTCTACGTCTTCTTTTTAAAGAAGAATAACCTAGCGGAATATAACTATAAGATTTACGATAAGAAGATACTAGCTATCGTATACTATCTAGAAGAATAGAACACCGAATTACGTAGTATTAAGCGGTTTAATATATGTATAGACTATAAGAATCTAGAGTACTTTATAACTATTCGAAAGCTTATAGAGTACTAGATACACTAGTTCTTAATTCTCTCTTAGTATAACTTTTATATTATATACGTCCCTAGTAAGGAAAATAAACGCGCGGACGCCCTATTAAGGTAGGACTAGGATATATCTTAGAACGAGTCTAATAAGCGACTAGCGGACCGTAATATATAGCTACTAAAGCCTAAAATACTAGTAGTAAGCCCTATAGTTCGTGTTTCGCCTATTAGAGCTAGCCTTACTAGCCTACGAGATTATATAATAGGAGAACTACTAGACGAGCTTATAGACTAAGATTAGGCTATAGTAAGCGACCCTAAGTATAATAAGGCCCTAAGCGCTACAAAGGCTAGCGCTAGAAGGTTTCCTATAGAGCTTAGCTTAAAAGTGTCTATATCTAAGTACGTAATATTAGAACAAGGTTACCTACTATTCCAGGGACGAAAATAAGTCTCTAATAGCCTTAACCTAAGGGCTCGCCTAATTTAAGTAACCTACGATATAGTACTTTATAAGTACCTAGGTAGGGAGGTTATATATATACTAGTAGCTCGCTTATTCTTCTAGCTAGAAATAATAACTAATATTCGTACGTTTATATAGAATTATAATAGTTACGGGAGGAATAAGATATAAAGGTCTCGCCGACAGGGATTCTTAAAGCTACTATCTATACTAGATCGAATATAGTCTAAAATATCTATAAACTTTATTACAGATTTACTAGTCTCTAAAGGCTACTAAAATATAATTATAGTTATAGATTAGTTAAGTAAAGGGGTAATAGTAGATAGCCTAGAAGATATTAAAGCTAAAATAGTAGCTAAATAGTTCCTACGATAATATCTACTCTACTACTTCCTACCTTTAGTAATTATCTCTAATAGAGGTATATAGTTTATAAGCGCCCTATAAAAGAGAGTATGTGAGCTACTACGAATTAAGCGTAGGTTGTCTACTACCTTCTCGCTAGAGACTAATAGTACTACTAAACGAATAAACGAAGTAGTTAAAATAGTCTTACGCTAGTTTATAGACTAGGCCTAGAAGGACTAGCTTAAATAGTTACCGCTAGCTATATCTAGAATATATGAACGGGACTTAATATCTATAGGTATAAGCCTATTCTTTCTATCTCACAGATAGTATTAGAGCCTACTTAAAGATATTAAATTATTAGAGGTAGATAATAGAGACTTCCTAATCGCTAAAGCGGACCGAATAGTACGAAAACTAAAAGAGGTAAGAGAGTGGGCGTAAGCGGTAATAACAGCGGCCTAAGAAGCCTAGGAGTAGGCGACTAATCGAAAGCGCGACTAGGCACCTAACTACTAGGTAGGAGATAAGGTATAGCTTAGTCTAGAGAATATTAAAATAGACAGGCCCTATAAGAAGCTAGATACTAGGTATACGAAGTTTATAGTTATAGAGGTCGTTAGATCTTATAGCTACCGCCTAAATATACTATCGAGTATATATAATATATTTTATACTAGACTCCTATAACTCGTATACACGACGCCGCTACTAGGATAGGTTATCGAAGAAAGCTAGCCTCTCGTAATACTCGTCGATAACATAGAAGAGTACGAGGTAAAGCGTATACTTAAGTAGAAGAAAGCTCCTAGAAGAGGTAATCGACAGAAGTACCTAGTTAAGTAGGTCGGTTATAGACATTTAACTTGAGAGCTAGAATCGGTAATAGAGGGTACTACCGCCCTAGTTAAATGAAAGGAGTATACGGCTAGGCGAAAGCGAAGGGAAGAAGGGGGGTAATATAAGGGTTAGGACCCTAGGGTGTGCTCGGGCTAAAAGCTCTCGCTAAGCACAGACTCTCGCTAAGTACTAGCCACGAGTAGAATTTAATTCAGTTCGATACTACTCTATCCTATTACTTCTAGAAGGTTCTAGTTACCTCTTCTTATATATATAAGACCCTATAGGAGCTACGCTTATATAAGCTCTCTACGTACTTCTTAATTAAATTTCAGAAACTATTCCTTTTAAGTTATTCGAGGTCTAACCTCTTACATTTATATTTAAATACTTAGATTTAGACTATATTAATTTACTTATACTATAAATAGAGAAGGCGACCTCTACTAACTAGAAAGAAAAAACCTTTAGGGTTATTAAAACTTTCTCTCTACTAATAGTAAAACTACCTCTTTTTATCCTTTATCTAGTTATATATCTTAGTTATATAACTAGGTTTTTCTAACGTAATATAATAGAACTTCTCTAAGTAACACTTCTATTTTTATAAGAAACTACCTATACTACTCTAAGCTCTTAGATCTAGTTAAGGTTACTTATCTAATAATAAATAAATTTAATAGATAAGCTTTTACTAAGATTATATAACGAACTAGATTTATGTACACTAATTAGAGCTAGCGTCGAGGCTAGAAATATACGCTCGTCGAAGTAAACTACGTAAAGTATAATTTACTAGATAAAGGATATTAGTGTGAGACGTTTTTATATTTAAGTCTAGGTTTCCTTTAGAACCTCCTCTTCTCTCTTTCTGTGATAGGCCTTTACAAATGTACTAAAAGAGGGGCTTACAGAAATGGTCCTTTATTCGAGGAAAACTAAACTACCTCAGCTAACTAGTAACACCTTAGTAGATTAAAACTATAACGAGGTTAACTATAGTTAACTTATTTCTAATAAACCCCTATAAATAAAGATATGTAATATAGCTGTTATAATCCTTAGGCCTACCTACTATAGTAATATTTCTTAAAACTAAAGTTTATCAGAAGTACTCTTACTTATATAATAGCTATAGCACATTATTTCAAATGTATGTATTAGGCAATGGAGTTCGAGTTATGATCGGCGAAGTATAGTTTTTGTATAGTTTAAAGTTTCCTTCTGCCAGGATGTCAACATCTAGTTGGTCCAGTAAGATCTAAGTCTTTGTGGCTCAGTTGGTTAGAGCGTTGGTCTCATATAATTCTTTATATGATTAGTCTGCACAACAGGCTGGTTATCCAAAGGTCGAGAGTTCGAGTCTCTCCAAGGACAATATGTTTTTTTGTCATTTTTGCCTCTCAGTTGTTGGAGATTGAAGGATTGCCGGTTGTGTTTAATTTTTGTGACTGAAGACTTCACAACCTTTTGATGGACTTTACGTTTGCACAACTTTCAGTAAGCAGCCCCTGTACATGAAGTTTGGAATACATGGTTTTAAGAATGCACTAGAAGGCAAATTATACTTTTTGATTCCCTTCCTTAAGTCTGTGCTTGTTGTGGGTAAGAAGCTTGATAAACTTTGCCACCGCTGCGAGAACCTCGGTCTTGGCATCACGATATGCACGGGCCATCAACAAGCAGTCGTCGACCACAAGCGAGGAGTCAGAAAGGGAGTGGGCAACAGTACTTCGTAACTCGAGTCCGAACTTCTAATATTACAATACATCGATAATGATTCCTACAAGTTAACCCCGCACAGTGGATCAGTTCTCTGAATCGTGTGAATCAACACAAAGGTAGTGTTATTAGTATCTTTCTAGTTTAAGGTCACGCAGTTGTCGTATTAAGCTAGGTTTCTCACTTCGAGCTTAACTCAATGCATGTATAGGGGAAGGGGCATTATAAAACGTAAGAGATAAAAACACCAACCTCAGTGTACAAAGAACTGTTGAATCTAGTTCACTTAGATAACCTTACTGCTCACTCTGACGCGCAGATCACTTTTACATCTGCTTCAATACCAACATCATAGCTCTTGTGAAATATTTGCTCTATCATATCTGTATAAGCAAACTTCGTTCTTAGGGACTCAAAGGCATTCTCTGAACTTCACCAAAAATTTTCAGTGTTTCCAATTTTGAGGTGATGCTGCTCGCTAGTAACACAACTCCACCGGTACAACCAGGTTTAACGAACTTCGTCTTCTTGATAGATCACTACTATCCTACACTCTCCACCGAAATATTTTCCAATTTGAAAACCTTGCGATGGCTGACAACACCCGCCCCACAATGTTCGGCCTTGAACCGTATACTCAAGACATGGCTGGAATGCCCACCCGTGATGCCGCAGGGTCTTCTGTTCAAAATATACTTTCGGCGCCAATTGGCACGGAAATTGCTCTCCAGGATACCGACAACTGGAGCAATGAAAAGGAAGAGATTCTTCAAGCTAGCGACATGGTAGACACACAGACTCTCATCACCACGGCAGTTCAGACTCACAACCCAGCTCCAAATAGCTTTGAATCGTCATTCTTACGCAATATTCCCATAGAGACCCTTGCGTGTATTTCTACCTTCAACTCCGTATCCACAACTGCGGCTTTTGCACTCACATGTCGCGCTGCTTATAATGTGTTCGGCAAGCGCTACTTTACTATCCTTAAAAAGAGTCACTGGTATTACGAGCGACCTACCCAACTATGTGTTCTGCTATCACTGTAAGATCATGCATCCAGCTACGCAAGATTACTTCGAAACGCAAATTGTTGACGGCGGCAAGACGGCCACGTACAGAAACAAGGCATGCCATCTCCAAGAGGCTGCTGGTGGGAGATGGAAATACATTCATCAAAATCTCACGTTCGACATCTTTCAAGCCATGATGAAGCGTGTCCGCACAGGTCTTGATTACACATACTTCCTCAACTTGCTCAACAATAAATTCGAATCCGGTGGCTCCCTTCCCTATCAGTGCACTTTCCAGGCTCGCATTGTCTCTGGGAAGCTCATCACCAAGTCAGAGTTTCTGATCCTCACTGATCAAGCCAACATCAGTGATTTCCTAAACTTCAGCCACTTTGCCATCTGCGAGCACATTAACCGTGAGGCCAGGTATTTGGGCGGAGAGCAACAATGGAAGGCTCAGAATCTCGACGAGCACATTCCCTGTCCATTAGACCATATCCATCATTTCGGAGAGTGCCACAAAGTTTCGAAGATCAAGCAATGCAAGAAGTGTCTCATAGATTACAAATGGGCCATCTACGAGCAAGGACCGAAAGGAAATCTCATCGTCATTGCGAAGTGGATGAATATGGGCGAAGGCAAGACTATCTTCGATGGTCATTGGTTCTTGCATTTCAACTCAAAATACACCACTGACGCCCCCCTAAGGTCAATTCATACAGAGTCTCTAAGGAAAGTTCCTCCTCCGTACCATGTTGGCTCTGTCAAGAAGCAATTCGAACCAGTAGACACCCTGGAATTTGGGACCGTTAAGGTGGAGGAGACAATTGCTCATTTGAGAACCTTGGGTGAGTTTCCTACACCGGTGGATCTCTTTACTGGTGCCGAAGGAAACCAGTATGAGCCGCCCAGTGTTCCCAAATAGAGGGTCTGAGGAGTATTTCCGAGTATTTTCTGGCATTATGGGATGGAGGATAGATACTTAGCTAGGAAGGGGCGAGTATTTGATGGATAGACAGCTGGCTCATTAAATACTCGTTTAATGAGCAATCTTTCCTAGTACTGTGAATAAACAGTAATATGTCCGCGCCATGAAGTCAAAACAATTCTTTCTATAACAACCCTTCTTTTCCCCCGCAAGCAGCTGACTGAGCAGTCGATTGATGAATATCTGAAGACACGCAACCAGTTGTCCCCAGAATATGGTACATCACTTGTGAAGACGTTACTTGGTATCGATACTAACGAGTGTACTAACAAAATGAGACCAATATATCTTCTAATATATCGAAGCTATTGAACCTAACTTCTAGAGAAGGTAGAGATTCTAAACCTTCAGTATTTACCAATATGGAATGTGTACTCATACGTCGAACTCGATCACATAGTCTGTTAAACATTTTGCCACAGAGTTTGCAATCCTTTGCGCAGAGGGCCTTAATAATCTCTTGGTGCGAAGTTTCATTTGTGTTTCGGTAGTGCCCTCCCTATAGGTTGTTTTGCTAACCAGGATGGTTTTTTAGTTGGCATTTCCTTAATTGGCGGACGCTCTTTCAACCGCTTCCAGTTCCGGTGAGCCGCACTGGGCAAGGATCATTTATCAATAAATGCCATAGCTAAGAAGACTGAATATTTCAGATCTTCAAGGGCTCTTTCGACCACGACTTTGAACCTTGCGACAAGGTGCGAATTTTGCTTGTCATCTGAGACTGTAAATAGACAGGATAGGCCCCGCGCCATGAGATGGATATCATCTATATTCTCAAAGACAGAGCCGTATAATATCCCATTCCCTACTGTACAAGTTGCGTGTAAGACACCCGTTGGGATCCAAATTGTAGCTTCGGGGTTCTGAATAATACTGATAAGATTCTCTAACCTCTCGATATCATCGGAAAAATTTTGTTCTTGATTCGAGTTACCAAATTTCCTCTGGCGTTTGAAAATCTCGAGATTGTGAGGAGTTAGTAGAGCAAAAAACCACACTTTTGAAAATCTAATCCCTGATACAAGGCATGCAAGGTTGCTATTCTCGACAAGGTGGAAGTCAAATATAGCGTTATTTCGACATAAATTTAGGCCGATCGGGATGGCAGTCTTTGCGTTGGCCATAGTCAGATGTTCGAAGTCTGCTGGAAGTTCCATTTTCCATTTCTGTTTGCTAGACAGCTGGAGATTTGCTGCATATGAGGCTTTTTGGGTTGCGTGATCCGGTTGGAATGCTGCCACCAAAACTTCCTGTATATCCTTTCTTTCGAGTGCGATTTTGGAGAATATTTCTTCAAATGTGGGAGGTTTGGCGCCCTGGATGCATTCGATAGTAGGGAAGATTTGCATCATAGTATACGAGCCCCAATGCCCTTTCTCCTTGAGAGTGAAGCTGAAGTTTGCCGCTGCCCGAGGAGTTTTTCCAACTTTTCCAACTTTTCTAGCGCCTTTGGTGACTTCTGGCAACTCTCGAAAATAATTGACGGTAGCTTCCTTGCTTTCTCTCTTTGGTTGCGCTTGGTCCTCGCTGCTCTTTTCTTTTGCAACGTAGTATGTCGATCCTGTGGCGGTTTCTTTCCAGGCCCCGACCTTTCGGACGGTCTGTCCTACTCTTTCATAAGAGGCATGCTTGAAAATTTGTAACATGAGCATGTATTTAAAATAGCAAGGCGGACTGAAAGAGGTGTAAGGTTGGAGATAGGTTGAGAGCTGGTTGATGGTCCAAACGTGGCACAGTATTATATAGACAGATCTGGTAGCAGACCAAAAAGACTAGCTCCTGCGACAATGGCCTTTGGAATTTTTCAAAATCAAGCACTCAACTTGGAAGCTTCATTCAAAGCGAAGATAATAGGGTTGGTCGTTTAGGATCATTCATGTGGGTTGGCTTGGGTGTTGAAGGATTTGATATGCTTGTCGTCAATCTTATCGCAAGTTTATTCTGTGACTCTGTCTGCCTGGACCACACACAGGTGTGCTCTCCCTCTCGGAGTATTAATTCCTCCAGCTCAGCGAAAATAAAATAGGCGAGGGTTATAGAGGATCCTTCTCCCTTTGAACCACGGTCTTTTTTTAATTGATTTAATAGGGTTATTTGGGTTTTGTTATAAAACTAGCATTCAGTAAGCTAATTTGGAATAAGCGATAAGTTATGTGCTAATACTCCGTCCTTTACACGGGAATCGTCAAGGCGAGTTTTCCAATTTCCAATCAGATTTCTTGTAAGATCAGTTATTCATTCTAAGATAAGCTTCTTAAGCCTTCTCTCTGCCCAAGCTCCCAGATCACCGAATATTTCTCTAGGCAAACCAAAGGTGACATGCGTTTTTCTGTCTGTCATAAGGCCGGCAGATCTAGCCTTACGTACTCCTGCACGGCGGCCTTAAGGCTGCCGAAATGGGCAATAAATTAGAAAATTTCTGCGCACGGCATTCATTATCTGCCTCTGAATAAACTCACTACTTTCCTCAATTCTATTAACCCTTTCTAGCATGACACCACCATTAGCTGCGATTATCTCTGAGATATCATCCACCCAAAACAACCACATCAAGATTTTATCAGGGCCACTGAAAGGTGGCTCTAATACTGTGTATGAGATCCAATCTGAACACGGGGATCGTTGGTGTCTTCGAATACCCCACGACGACGACG